CTCTATAATTATTAACACAGTCGAAGCTTCCTTTTTTTATGGAGTGGTACAATAACACTCTCAGCCCATTCTGATGGAAAATTACCCGTTGACAAAATAGTATTATACATAACTAACAAATATGGAATTAAAACAGTTCTGCAGCATTGGATCATGTCAGCCGTAATACCATCTGGTCCTGCAGCTTTACCCTGCTTCAGATCTCTTATGAATGATTCGATCTCTTCCTGTGTAATATCATCATTAAGAATATTATTTACATCATCATCAGTACAGAAATCACACAATTGTTCATTATGGTTATTTATAACCTAATCTATCTGCTCAATGATATCCGAGTCTACAAGTATATCAGTATGGTTTAAAATATTCAGTCTTAATATAATCAAACCAATCTTCTTGGCAAATCTGGGTGGAAAGAGGACCACAACTTGTCTTCTTTGTCAATGCGATTATGTTGAATATTTAGAAAGAATCTCCTTATCACCAATAACTCTAAACTTGCATTTTTTATCCAGATGCAATTTTTGATTATCTAGCCCTAGAAAGTAATCCGCATGAAATAGAACCACTATGTACAGCATTGGTCAAAGCTTCAACAGCTAAATCAACATTCAAAGACAATAAATGCATAAACTCATCCATGTGAAGTGCAGACAATGACTCAAAAACATTATGTTTGAAGGCATCACATATTTCATTTCTCCATGTATATCTGGGAATATTATTCACATGCATTTCATTAACATTATTGACCTGTCTATCACATCCATGGAGGGTAAGTAGGAAAGGAAAGTGACCTGATTCATAGCTTGTCAAAAAAAATAGTTGGGCATAGTACATAATCAACCAAACTAGCGCCACCTTCCTTAAAACAAGTAAATGATCCCCAGCAAATCGTCTATTTACAATATGGACAGAAAACGTACAACAAAAGTCTACCAGATCCCTCCCGTAATCATTACACACATCATCTCTGGTACTGCGGGGCACGTCAAATGCATCCGATACATACTCCATGTCTTATAAACATGTTATAAATATGTTGTTGTCGTCGATAATAAAATCTTTCAAATTACCAGACCCGTGAAGATTCCGGGGTAGAATATATGTAGGTCTTCAGCAACCCATGCTTGTCGTAAAAGGTGACTATGTTTGTCGTAAAAGGCGACTAACGGGATTGGGTGGTCAGGCTCGCTGACTCGGTTGATGCATGTCATCGATCCAAATGCTTATGATATTATTCACTGGATTGTCTGGTCCAGACTGTATTATTTACAGACCGCCGTCATATAGCTGGAATATTGCCGAGTGCGGCGTTAAACGACAAACCAATCAACCAACAAATCAAATTACCATACCGTACATTATAGTCACCAGGAAGAATAATTTCCCAATCTGGGTGTTCATATAACACAGCAGACAAGCTTTTATCTAAGTACTCTATACCCTTAGGGACTCTATTGTCTGTCATTACTAAGTACAAATGTATACTGAACAACAAAAGTGACATTGAATAAGATTTAATGCAAAGTTATGCTTTTTACCAAATCTGAAACAAATTCGGTTTGCTATGGATAAAAGACTCCTGTACGTGTTCAAATGGTTTAATTTCCCATACAGACTTCAGAAAAAGCGTGATTTCATAAAACAAAATCAAACCAATCAAATTACATAATTGACATAATCAATAAATAAACATAATCAGTAGCGTGTGTGTCCACCTCTGGCAAGCAACTCATCTTCGTCTCATGGAATGGACCAGGCGTCGCACAAAGTCCTGTGGGATATCTGTCCATATCTGCTGGAGCATGTTTCGAAGTTCCTGCAGGGTCTGTGGAACACGTCGAAGGTTGTCTCTCCATCTCATCCCACATGTGCTCGATTGGTGAGAGATCAGGGGAGCGAGCCGGCCAGGGAATGACATTCACGTTGTTTTGTTGAAGAGAATCCTGAACAAGTCGAGCAATTTGAGGCCGGGCGTTGTCATGTTGAAAGGTCATGACCGGGCCATGACGACGCAAAAACGGTAGAACAACAGGGCCGATGATCTCATCGCGGTAGTGCTGTCCATTGAGATTTATCTCTACCACTATCAAACAGGTCCTCTGTCTTTCTGTAATCTCACCCCATACCATAACGCTGTCGCCCCCGAACCGATCTTCTTCCATGACACAATGATTGACGTAACGTTCACCTCGACGTCGGTATACTCGAATGCCTCCATCGCTGTGGATGAGGTGAAAACGAGACTCGTCAGTGAATAGAACTTGTCCTCAGTGCATGACCGTCCAGCATAGACGCTGTCTGCACCACTGTAGACGTGCTTGAAGGCCAGAGATGCTTCTTGCAGTCACTGTTGCTGGCTGGAATCGATTTCGTAGGTGTGTTGTTCGAATCAAGTTGTCTTGTCGATTATTGGTTGACTGCATTCGTCTGTTGCCAACGTTGCCTTAAACATCAAATGGTGTTCCTGTGGACATTAAATTGTCTTGCAACATCACGTTGACTCGATCCTGCTTCAAGCATACCAATGACTCGCAGACGCTCATTTTCGGACAGGCGTTGTTTTTCGTAATGTTGAATAGTTACGTAATTTTGTTGTTTTTCTGAGTGGCTGTTGTCAGCACGATGCTAAACAATGCATATGGAATCCCGTTAACGCACATGTTTTCATACCCATGCTTGGGTAGGGAAATGCATGGGACTTGCATAAAAGTCATCTTTTGCATGGAATACATGCTTTTCTGTAGCAGTTGGGTTTTTTGTGATTTGATTTCCTTGCATGTACTACAATATTGAAAACCAGACTTTACTTGTTTGAAAAATACACTAAAATATTGGTGTCACAGGCACTTTTGTTGTTGAGTATATTAACAGGATGCACAAAACCAACAAGTAAATTACGTGTGAGATTATATATACTCTTATCAAGTAACAGAAATATCATGTCTGTGTAGTCAATAATAACACGGCGCAGACCATGTGATAGTGAAGTGTGAACACACACAGACACGCCCTCTCGGTAGTTTACCCTCTGCAGTTCGTGTAGACACGGTACTCGGGGAACATAGTCTCTATGCTTTCCTTTGTGCAGTGTATCTCTAGAAGACCAAAGATATTGTGATCAGTGCAAATAAACTTCAATAAAACTTCATGATTTATTCTATCAAATGCCTTTGAAAAATCAACGAAGATGCTATAAAATCTACCATTAGTTTTTGGAGAGATATTTGTGCAAATGCCTGTAATGCCTGTAATGCCAAAAAGTGATCAATAGAAAAATATCCGGATCTAAATCCAGCTTAAGGGCTTAATATTCGTGTATAATATTATTAATGTCACACCAGGATTGTAATATTTTATCCAGAATATATGTCAGAACTTTGCACAGTGAGTAAATAAGAGATATGCCCCTGTAATTATCTGTAATATAAAACAAGCTACATACATTAATGTTTGTTGATTCATGCACATGTCTACATGCTCGTTGAGAGGTCAGATGAAGTGAAATGAGGGTTAACGTCACATTCACTTCCCTAGCTACTCGCACTTTGTAAAGGGTCATGCGATTATTCATTTGACCGCTTACACATATGCTAGTTTTGTCGCGGTACCTCATAGTACACATTATCCTCCACAGTGGATATACATGCATATAGTGCTGTTCGTCCTTGATATTGCTTCCTGTATAAGGATAGAGTTCACATGGTCCAAAGCAGTGCTTCCTATACATATATATAGTTCACATTATCACAGAGGGTGCCTCCTATACCCGCATATAGTTCGCATCGTCCATGCGATACCATGCTGCTGACCAAAGCCCTAGAAACTCGCACAAGCCATGCTGCCAAACACGGTCACCCTTCCATCAACTTTCCACGAGCAACGTTGCTTAACGTCGCCTGATTTGTGACCTGTGCTTTGTACACGGGGTGCCGTACAATCAATAATGTGAACTATATGTACGCTAAGGACAGTGGGGGTTATTATACATATGTAATTATAAATAAACATATATATACATATTAGGAAACTCTGCCTGGGACGATGCGAACTATATGCGGGAATAGGGGGCACACTCTGTAATAACTATATACACGAATAGCAAGCACTGCGTTTGTAGAAAGCACTGACAGCGACAATGGGAAGTATATAAATGAATAGGAAGCGCTTTCTGGAATAATGTAAACTATTTGCGTGTGTAGGAAGTACTTGCAGCGAAAATGGGAAGTGTAATACGTGTATGGGAAGTACTGTCTGGCACAATGTGAGCTATACACTTACTGAAAGCACTGCTCGGAACAATGAGATTGTATGGAACATGTATTGTTAGAAACAATATGTATCTAGGCCCTGGATACTATGTCATCATACCAAACATTAACACAAATGTGAAACGTATCAATGTACCAATCAGCCTACCAAACGGTAGATGAATAACACCAAACCAACAAATTAAGAGACAATGAATCAGAAATTCAAAAGAGAACGTGTTTATTTCAAAACGGTTGAAAAATTAACAAATACAATTGATTGTTATATATGATATAACACAAGTATTGTTCAATATTGTTTCTATTAAAGATGATATACGAATCTTCACACATGATCACACATATATTGATAGTTGCTTTAAGCACCACATCAACAATATATTATACAATATCATACAATGACAAAAAATAAGAAACACCTCCTTTATAGATCTATGAAATAGTGCAAGTCATACATATAGAATATGTTTATGTCCTTGACGAATAAATTATACAATGCCATAAACATATACTGCCAATAATAATGCTACTTGTATGCTTTGATTAAACGCTTTGATGGTGTAACTGATGGATTTACTAACTTAATTGGTTACTAATTCGTTTTGTTCTCATAAAGTGTAGGCATTATAATCAGGTATAATGTTAACTGACATTTCCGTTAATAATTCCAGCATTATTAGTGAAATGCCATACCTCAATGTACTTGGCATTACTTATTTAGTATGAAGACAGTTGAACACAAATGTCAAAAATGTAATGTATTCTGTGATTTAGGCATCTTACAAACCAGGACTAGTAGTGTGGGCTATACATGGTGGAACACCAAAATGCTATGTTTCAAGTCTTCGGGGTTTATTTGTTGAACTTAAGGGTAGGCCAAGCAACCTCTCATCTCCGCCATTTGGTTAAATCGATTGTTGGAAGATCGTTGCAGGGTATCAAAGGATTGCTGTGAAATACAAAAATGTGTCACCCAGTTAAAATATTAACATTTCCGTCAGCATATTTCATATGATCTGGTTTTATATTCGTATCCTATATAACTGAATGAGCTTGAATATGTTACATTCAAAGTGTGTCACGAGGTGTAAATGGATCCAGGATACAATTCTGATTAATGTTCACTAAATGAAGTACGCCAGATATACCCTGTCGCATGTTAATATGAGGTCTGTCTGTGCGAGATAATTAATTACTGACGAACAAAGGAGATGAATGTCTTCATTGCCTACCTTTCTTTTGAGTACACTGTAAAAGGATCTCTTTGGATGGACTTCACTCCTGAATTCCTACAAAGAATTTTGGCAAAGCGCATTCGTCGGATCTCAGACAGTTGTCCTGAAATAGAAAACGCAATAAATATTTATATATACAATTACTTCTGACAGCAAGAGAGTATCTTTTTTCCAAACTATTGTCAGTGAAACACTAAAACATTTTGACATCTTGAATTAGAAATGCAATAAAATTCATATTATGATATAACATTCTCATCTTAAAGGCATATTAAGTTATCTCATAAGTACATAGTTTGACATCAACAAAATAGTTTAACAAAACATACAAGCACACAGGAACAGACTGGACGGTACCTAATGTAAAGCCCTTTCTTGGATGGGATGTTTCGAACCAGAATGAGTCGCCATATTTCAGGTCATGGAACTGTTGACCAATCAGACAAGCGAGGAGAGGGCCCACTACACCGCCATGCACGTGCTGTTCAGCTACTGCACCGGTGAAGACGTCGATGTCATCAGGGGATCTGAAGCAAGAATACATAAACGTAAGGAGATCTTGAGAAATGTCAAATAAGGGTTAAAGTATCTTTATTTAATAAATTTGTTACAATAACTCTGTACACATACAAGAGTAAATTAAATTAGACAAACCTGTATACACTTTTCAAAGCAGCTCCTGCTTTACCAAATATACTGTCATCAAATGAAGTCACTTCCCATAGCTGACATGCCTTGCGGAAGCTGTTGTATGATGGCAGGCCGTGGTCACGACCTCTCTGAATGTTCAAGGACACGATGTCAAAGCCATTATTGCCCGACGTCTCAAACAAATGCTCAGTCATCCCTTGTTGATGAATCGGTTAACCTCCTGATGTCTGTCCTTGAGGATAGCCTTCAGCACGGTGTCCAGATCTTTGATGACCTCAGAAGGTCTGAAGAAGAGCTGTTCTATGGGTACACGTCGATCTCCGAGGGTCAGGAAACGTGGAATGGTGGAGTGGCCGTATCTGAAGGCGGCGGTGGCGAAAGCGTTGTAGATGGTGGGGTTTTGGGTGAAGTTGTACCTGAAGCTAAAGCCAGGGGTCAGTCTGTACTTCCTCATGGCCAAGGGCCCAACAATAATGGGCAGCCATTCGCGGTAGGTGACTTGTTGGATGATGGCTGACACGATCTTTCTGGCCTCCTCAAACAAGACATCATCAGGAGTGGTCGATGGCATGACATCAGCAAGTTCTTTGACAAGACGATTGTGTTCGCGGACAAACATGGTGTGTAGCACGGCCAGACCAGGGAACACGTTCACACGGTCGTCACCTGATGATGGAGTTAGTTATAAAGAAGGTGTGAAAGTGTTGTGAATTATCATTCGAAATGTACCAAATAGTCATGTGTGAAGTACAATATAAAAAGATTCTGAAAATAGTACTACGGATACATTAATAATTAAGTTGTATTTACCAGCTTCAAAACACCATTCGTTGGTATTGCTTGTTCGACAGTTGCCTTGGTTGGATTCTGGCAACAGGTTATCGCCCTTGGTTTTCATGTAGGCTGAAAAGTTGAATGACGACATTTATTTGTATATACCAATTTCTCTCCACGGTATTTGCCACATTTTAAAATATTTGTTTGATCATGAATTATAATTTAAAACAAAATATTGCCTGACTTACGTCCATTCCTGAGGTGATTGATCTGATCCTGACTGAGGCCGTACACGTTAGAGGCGTCCACAAAGGACGTCAGTAGGTTCAACTGTTCTCGAGTATCTGGAAGTCACATGGTTTTAAATTAAATATGGATGTTATCATACAGTGCTGTTTATGGCTTTCGTTACTTAATAAGATGAGCATAAAAATAATGACAGAACAATCCTTCATTGAAATGAGGTAACCTACACAGCCTTGTATTCATATACTCACTCCTTCCAGGTGCTGGGGCTGATCTTTTGAACTCCATGCAGTTCTTTTGGAAATGTCCTTCATTTACTGGCATGGTGATTGGGAAACAAGGACCGCTGGAACAGTGAAATACAACCATTGTTATGATAATGTTTATGATATGTTATGATACACAAACACATGCTTATGATATAGTCGGAATCGTACGGTAGACTTTTATAATCATGGAAAAGGTTGTATCCCTTTCATCCCAATTCTAAACATGTATACAATGTCACGTAATTTTAAAGTTTATTATTTCTGATTCATTTATTTCAAATATCTCGACCAGTTATTTCCATTAACACAAACAGAATGATTAAGTGTGGAAAATATAGAATGTTAATTGCTTACCCAGCTCGTACATCAGAATGCATCTCTCCAGGTGTGTGACCATCGCAACATTTTGATTGAACATCACCTTGAAGGAATATGAGGATTTGTTAAGTTAATACAAAGATTTAGATGCATATCGTAATTATTGAAATAGGTTCGAAAAATATGGATCACAAAAACAAATATATCACAGTTTGTCTGATTTCATCATCACACGTCTGGTCACTTTGATGGTCAGAGGGTATTGGCCATTTGGCACCTACCTGCATGGAGAGGAGTTCCGGTGAGATCGTGGTCAACAAACTGCCCCCACTGCATCACCATCACCGTGTGGTCGTCAGAAGGACTGTCAACTCCCGGATGGACGGCCACACTGATGGCGCGTGGACTGGGAAGGGGATAACCATCAACGCCTCTCATTCGGGGAACGAACTTGCCTGAAAAGTCAAACCTTTGCTTTTAAAGTTCACTAAAGTATGGTTAGTTGTAATATTGATGGGGCATAACTAAATGTCCCCATTGGAATACTTACAAGACTTGCTTCCAAACGGTCTGATTTATTTATGAAAATCGCCCTGGTCATAAGCATGAAATAATGATTTTTAAGTTCTAATATCAATGTGAAGAAAGTCAGTTCTTTACCATCATCATATGCAGGATCAATAAATCTCTTGAATGGTTGGTTGGTTGATCCCCAGGTTGGCCAGCGAGCATTGTTGCAACTTCCGTCCATTGTCCGGTAGCGGGCGTCTTGTCTGCAGTCGATAGAGCGCCGTCTGTAAAAGTGAATGGTGTTATCAAGTCTAATGATAATTGGTGTAGGTATCAACTATATTAAACTCTCAACCACAAACGAAGTGTCCATAGATGAGAGTTAGTACGAAACTGACCTGATGGTGTGTTTGTCTTGATACTTGGATGTGCTGATGTCTTCTATGGAAATCTGAGACGTCTCGGCGGCGTCAGCCAGTGTACAAACAACATACTTGTCTTTGTCATCACCTACGTCAAAGTAAAGGCATTAATACACTGCTTACTATCATGGGACAATTTCAGAGTACTTTAACTTCGAAAGTCTGATCAAAGGTCGCACCATCTGAACTGGATGATGTTCTATAGTGGATAATGATGTTTGAGAACGCGTATCAGCAAAATATTTGTTTTAAATAATCGGAATTTGTCATCTGTATGTCCCATATGCAATAAATCCTCTGAAACATATGTATGATCAGATTTGTCAGTTAACCCAATAGACAAATCATGGATAGTGATGCCGTTAATGTTGAATAATTAGACTTCTTACCATGCAGGAGTCTGAACAAGATGTCAATTCTGTTTTCTCTGTCCAGCGTTTGTCCATCAACTATTCCTTGGTGGTCACCCCAAGTCGTTGGTGAAGTTTTTGTCGCACCCTCTAATAGGTAAATAAGTTCAGAGTATAGAGATATAGGGTTGTTACAGATTATGAATGCAATCACAAAAACTTTCATACTTTGCCACCCCACATTTTGTTCTATTTAGTGGCGTTAAACGGGGTCTTTGAATATGTCTGGAAATATCAACACAAGTCATTTCACGTGCATCTTTCAGGGTATACCCAAACACATATTTATTCATCTTATCTCTCAATCTTAGAATTCAAGAGAACATCATTATCTCCAACAATCCCTTCTTCAAATGTGTACCCCGAAGTGTAACAATACAACCGGTGTGAACTTACTGTTCGTTGATGACTCATCAGTGACATCGTCAAGGAATTTCGTGTTCATCTGATGATCCATTCCAACCAGATCTGATTGTATTGCCTTGACTGAAGGTAAGGTAGTTTTTAGTCAAACAACTGGTATCACAAAATATAATATCCGTACATTAAAACATTCAAACTATATTTAGTGACATTGATTTCATCAAAGGTCCGTCTCTACATTGAAGGACTAAGCATAATAGTAAGTAGAAATTTGGCATCTTTAACACAGATATCTCATTATTTCAGCATATTACATGATGCCAGTTGCGTGAGTAACGCCCAAGCAGATGAAACTAAAATAGTATTATTCAATCCTTCACTATAGCTTGTCAAGATTTGGTTCATAATTTTTAAAACACTATACTCACGTTGCTCAATGACGGAATCTATGTGGTTAACCTATAAGGGAATGAGTAAACATAGGTTAAATAATCGGTCTAGGGTAAAACAGATGTGATAATCTCAAACACCGTATGCCACCCGTTACTTTAAACATGATGAGAGAAAGAAGTTTTAGAACAATAAACCCAGAGTAAGTAATTACATGACATTTCTTATATATACTGATTTTCTACAGACATTCATGACTAGCCAGATAAATACCAATACTGATAATGAGAAGAAAAGATAAAAGAAGAAACAAAACACAACCTACCTCTGTGTCCGCCTCTCCAGCAGTGACCATGGTCAACATACAAACAAACAACACAACTTTCATCGTTTCTGCTTCTGTCCAGTACAAAGTGGGAATGTCTGATACACCAAAGATGGGACCTTGTATTTATACTCATATTCCTGGATTAAATCAACACAGATTACCCTAGAATTCACACTCCCCTGCTGGGTATTATCCGACATATCTACATGGGGGAGCTAAACATCTTGGATTATGCGGAGGCAGGCTGATTATCCCGGAGCAGCGTCATCGCCGCCATTGTTCTTGGTGTGGTGTATAAACATCAATAACGAGGTAGTTGGTAACTGTTTCTCACCAGGGGGTATTATCAGAGGGCATTGTTGAGATTATATATAATAGTAACATATTAATAATAACTGAAACGGGAGAAAATGTAAGTTTCTTGTTTTTTGACTGAAAATACAAATAAAATAATTCATGTCTCCCAAAATCTCTATGAACTTCTCCATAAGATATGTCACGTGACCCTTCCCTTGAGATATGTAGTTCTTTTAGCTTGAACATCACAAAAACCTTATCAGTGTATTCGCTTTAAGGTTACTCACGTTTTTGTATTCGGTTTTGCTATTGTAATCGCTAAACAAATGTACTTAGAGAACATATATTCAGTACACCATCTCTTCCGAATTCATTTTTATTCGCAGTTAAGTTGTAGTAGTAGTAGTAGTAGTAGTGGTAGTAGTAGTAGTGGTAGTAGTAGTAGTAGTAGTAGTAGTAGTAGTAGTAGTAGTAGTAGTAGTAGTAGTAGTAGTAGTAGTAGTAGTAGTAGTACAAACTTTCTAGAATTATAATTGAGATATGTATGTACCACATAAAATGTACGACTGGACTTCGTGTTTATGAATAAGTGGAAAATTTGCGATTACATGTAATTGTCAGTTCCTATTAGCAATATCGATGATTGACAATTAGTTTAAAAAGTTGATCCTATATGTATTATTTCATTACATTGAGGGACTAGAAAATCCTCCAGACACAAAACGTAGTGACCATTTCAATGCATTTGTCTCCCAGTACTTGTCTGCAAAGCTTGTCAAGAACAACTCGTGATGAGAAGCGGATTACCAACTGTCTCATTGTAATGATACCACTCTTAGAACAATTACAGTTGATGAGGACACGCCCAGATCAACACCATTCATTTATATAATCCCGGATTTGTGGTAAAAACAAGACTGTAACTTATCACGGATTATCATCAGCGACAGCGGATTACGGGATAATCTGATTTAGTGTATTCGGCAAACATGGTTGTCCAAATATGTAAGAACCATGCCCGATCTATCCGCTCTCATGTGCCAAATATTAATACAATCATTGCTGTTTAGAGCAACCTACATGTGCATCTGTATTCCTCTATAGCACGTTCAGTGTTCTAAATGTATCTTTTAAAAGTATATATATTCATATACATACAATAATACGATACAATAATACGAATGCTTCATTATCCTGCATACACAGTTGTTGATATTAAATATTTGTTTTCCCATTTCTCATTGTAAAACCTTAAGTTAAGAAAATAGACAAATGTTATCTCTGAAGAGTGAGTGAGGTAGTATCTTTTTTCGCCGCTTTTGACAATTTTCCAGCAATATCAAGGCGTGGGACACCAGAAATGAGCTTCACACATTGTATCCATGTAGGGAATGGAGCCCGTGTCTTCGGTGTAACGAGCGAACACTTTAACCACTAGGCTACCCCACCGCTCCTCTCTCTGAAGAATTCATAAGATGGATAATGTTTCAGTTCCTGGATTATCTGTATAATATTGTTGTATATATTGCTTTCTGAACTGGGAGTAGCGTTCACATATCATCATCACACGGTATTCATCTTCTACACTCCTCATATTTTTCTTCAAACAGAACTCGCAATATCTTTCATCATGAGGAATATTATTGTGTCTTCCAATCTGAACACATAATCCAAAAATATTTCATCTAAATTTTGCTAAATGCCAATTAATATATTGAGGTATGTTTATTGTTAGATATGATTCAGTATTGTGAAGTGACGTATATTGTTTATAGTACTTGCACTTTGATGAACTTTCCAAGGATGAGTGCCAATTTGTTGAAGATCCTTGTTTAAATTAGTTTTAAAGATTTCAGCATCTCCCATGTTCTGCTGAATCCAGACTATACCAAATCCTAGATGAAATATAATATTCATAATTGAAGTAACCCATGTGTGTCTTCCAGCATTATCAATAGATATAAGTATAATGTAAATCTGATATGGTAGTCTATTATTGTAGAGGTGAATTAATATAGTCCAGTATTTTATATCTATTGTCATGTAAATACATTCTCTGCCAGTCTGCCACACTCTCCAAGAACCATGTTATTAAGAGTAATATTATTAAATCTAGGAAATCGTTTGCCGAATACAGTCTATGTACTTTCCATTTACTTGTTATATGAAATTCCCCAGATTTCAGCACCATAACACAATATTGGAACTATCATGCCGTCAAACGTTTTCAAGTTGTCTTCATGTGATAAATATCCGAATTTCTTTTGATAATTAAAGATGTTGATGAGTGATTTCTTGGCTTGAGCAGAAAGTAAGTTTATTTTCTGCTTCGAAGGCCGTCGGCCCATGTACACAGTTGATACAACAATATCCATAGACAGTCAGACAGACAGACAGACAGACAGACAGACAGACAGACAGACAGACAGATGTTTGATGAATTTCTCAACAATACATATGCCGCGCAATCAAATATGAAATGGAGTTCATCTTCAATGCTTTTAGTATTACACATCCTACAAATTCGGTTAACAGTTATAGCTTCTTTACATCTGATATTACAGCGCAACGGCAGTTCATGCAATCTCAACAAGCAGATATATCTTCTTAATTCCCTAACATTGATGTTTGTAACATCATATTCAACAGTCAGCAATGACTTAATATTCGTATCATGTGCAAGTCGTTTTGAATCATTGATAATACTAAATATGTTTTGTTTTCCACAATCTTCTAATCTCTGTCTGAACATCGACAGAAAATATGAAAAATCTCCAATATCTTGACTAACCCATCCATATCCGAAACCATACGTGTATAACAACAATCTTACAGCCCCACACCTCCGCCCCGTATAACAAAAAAGGTTTTATCTTACAATCAAACAACTTAAATAACATATTTCCAGGAATATTTGGGTGTTTATGCTGTAATTGAGCTTTAGTGGCTTTTGAAACAAGAGTATTTGTACATACTGTCAACCTAGTAGAAAACATAATACCTAAAAAATTATAATAGGTTGATGTCTTTAGTAGCTCTCCATCAAAATACCACTTCTCATAATGTCGTAAATAACCACCATTTAGAAAAAAAAACTAATATTTCTGTCTTATCCATATTTATCTGTAAGCCCCATGATTTACTATATTTACATAAAATATCAATCTTTCTTTGCAAACCAATAACACTGTAATCAAAAATACAGAAATCATCAGCATACAATAATAACACGAGTTCCAAATAATCTACACCTATGTATATACCTCTTACATCTGCATTTTCCATCAATGATGGAAATTCTGAAATCAACATTGCAAATAAAAACGGGCTGATAACACAAACTTGTCTGACTCTACTTAAACTATCAAAATAATCAGTAATAGTAGTGTTGGACACTCTTAAAGCTGCTTTTATATTCGAATACATATTTCTCAGTACAGAGAATAATTTACGATGAATACCTTTATTAATTATTGAATACCACAGTAATTTCCTATTAAAAGAATCAAATGCTTTCTTGAAGTTTACATAAATACAGTAAAAACGTCCCCAAATTTTAGATAAATACTTTTGTACACGACATTGCAAAGTGAAACTATTATCCGTTGTGCAATAGCCTTTCCTAACACCTGCCTGGGCCACAGGTATACTGTTAAAGTGATCGGAAAAACGTTTAAGACGCCCATTTAGAATAGAGCCGAATAACTTCCCAAAAATATCCATCAAAGATATGTCTCTAATTATTAACACAGTCGAAGCTTCCTTTTTTAAAGAGTGGTACAATAACACTCTCAGCCCATTCTGATGGAAAATTACCCGTTGACAAAATAGTATTATACATAACTAACAAATATGGAATTAAAACAGTTCTGCAGCATTGGATCATGTCAGCCGTAATACCATCTGGTCCTGCAGCTTTACCCTGCTTCAGATCTCTTATGAATGATTCGATCTCTTCCTGTGTAATATCATCATTAAGAATATTATTATATCATCATCAGTACAGAAATCACACAATTGTTCATTATAGTTATTTATAACCTAATCTATCTGCTCAATGATATCCGAGTCCACAAGTATATCAGTATGGTTTAAAATATTCAGTCTTAATATAATCAAACCAATCTTCTTGGCAAATCTGGGTGGAAAGAGGACCACAACTTGTCTTCTTTGTCAATGCGATTATGTTGAATATTTAGAAAGAATCTCCTTATCACCAATAACTTGTCTAATACATTAAACTTTTTAGTCTTCATATCCTCACAGTCTTTATCGTAGCATTTTTTATCCAGATGTAAGTTTTGATTATCTAGCCCTAGAAAGTAATCCGCATGAAATAGAACCACTATGTACAGCATTGGTCAAAGCTTCAACAGCTAAATCAACATTCAAAGACAATAAATGCATAAACTCATCCATGTGAAGTGCAGACAATGACTCAAAAACATTATGTTTGAAGGCATCACATATTTCATTTCTCCATGTATATCTGGGAATATTATTCACATGCATTGCATTAACATTATTGACCTGTCTATCACATCCATGGAGGGTAAGTAGGAAAGGAAAGTGACCTGATTCATAGCTTGTGAAAAAAAATAGTTGAGCATAGTACATAATCAACCAAACTAGCGCCACCTTCCTTAAAACAAGTAAATGATTCCCAGCAAATCGTCCATTTACAATATGGACAGAAAACGTACAACAAAAGTCTACCAGATCCCTCCTGTAATCATTACACACATCATCTCTGGTACTGCGGGGCACGTCAAATGCATCCGATACATACTTCTTATAAACATGTAATAAATCTGTCGTTGTCGTCGATAATAAAATCTTTCAAATTACCAGACCCGTGAAGATTCCGGGGTAGAATACATGTAGGTCTTCAGCAACCAATGCTTGTCGTAAAAGGTGACTAAGTTTGTCGTAAAATGCGACTATCGGCATTGGGTGGTCAGGCTCGCTGATTTGGTTGATGCATGTCATCGATCCCAATTGCGTGGATCGATGCTCATGATATTATTCACTGGATTGTCTGGTCCAGACTGTATTATTTACAGACCGCCGTCATATAGCTGGAATATTGCTGAGCGCGGCGTTAAACGACAAACCAATCAACCAACCAATCAAATTACCACAGCGTACATTATAGTCACCAGGAAGAATAATTTCCCAATCTGGGTGTTCATGTAACACAGCAGACAAGCTTTTATCTAAGTACTCTAGACCCTTAGGGACTCTATTGTCTGTCATTACTAAGTACAAATGTATACTGAACAACAAAAGTTCCTGTGACATTGAATAAGATTTAATGCAAAGTTATGCTTTTTACAAAATCCGAAACAATTTCGGTTTGCTATGGATAAAAGACTGTTCAAATGGTTAATTTCCCATACAGACTTCAGAAAAAGCGTGATTTCATAAAAAAAATCAAACCAATCAAATTACATAATTGACATAATCAATAAATAAACATAATCAGTAGCGTGTGTGTCCACCTCTGGCAAGCAACACATCTTCGTTTCATGGAATAGACCAGGCGTTGCACAAAGTCCTGTGGGATATCTGTCCATATCTGCTGGAGCATGTTTCGAAGTTCCTGCAGGGTCTGTGGAACACGTCGAAGGTTGTCTCTCCATCTCATCCCACATGTGCTCGATTGGTGAGAGATCAGGGGAGCGAGCCGGCCAGGGAATGACATTCACGTTGTTTTGTTGAAGAGAATCCTGAACAAGTCGAGCAATTTGAGGCCGGGCGTTGTCATGTTGAAAGGTAATGCCTGGGCCATGACGACGCAAAAACGGTAGAACAACAGGGTTGATGATCTCGTCGCGGTAGCGCTGTCCATTGAGATTTATCTCTACCACTATCAAACAGGTCCTCTGTCTTGCTGTAATCCCACCCCATACCATAACGCTGCCGCCCCCGAACCGATCTTCTTCCATGACACAATGATTGACGTAACGTTCACCTCGACGTCGGTACACGCGAATGCCTCCATCGCTGTGGATGAGGTGAAAACGAGACTCGTCAGTGAATAGAACTTGTTCTCAGTGCATGACCGTCCAGCGTAGACGTTGTCTGCACCACTGTAGACGTGCTTGAAGGCCAGGGATGCTTCTTGCAGTCACTGTTGCTGGCTGGAATCGACTTCGTAGGTATGTTGTTCGAATCAAGTTGTCTTGTCGATTATTGGTTACACGTGGCCTGCCACCCCGAGGATGGTCTCTGACTGCATTCGTCTGTTGCCAACGTTGCCATAAACACCTGTCCTGTGGACATTAAATTGTCTTGCAACATCACGTTGACTCGATCCTGCTTCAAGCATACCAATGACTCGCAGACGCTCATTTTCGGACAGGCGTTGTTTTTCGTAATGTTGAATAGTTACGTAATTTTGTTGTTTTTCTGAGTGGTTGTTGTCAGCACGATGCTAAACAATGCAAATGGAATCCCGTTAACGCACATGTTTTCATACCCATGCTTGGGTTGTGAAATGCATGGAACTTGCATAAAAGTCATCTTTTGCATGGAATACATGCTTTTCTGTAGCAGTTGGGGTTTTTGTGACTTGATTTCCTTGCATGTACTACAATATTGAAAACCAGACTTTACTTGTTTGAAACATACACTAAAATATTGGTGTCACAGGAACTTTTGTTGTTGAGTTTATTAACAGGATGCACAAAACCAACAAGTAAATTACGTGTGAGATTATATATACTCTTATCAAGTAACAGAAATATCATGTCTGTGTAGTCAATAATAACACGGCGCAGACCATGTGATAGTGAAGTGTGAACACACACAGACACGCCCTCTCGGTAGTTTACCCTCTGCAGTTCGTGTAGACACGGTACTCGGGGAACATAGTCTCTATGCTTTCCTTTGTGCAGTGTATCTCTAGAAGACCAAAGATACTGTGATCAGTGGAAATAAACTTCAATAAAACTTCATGATTTATTCTATCAAATGCCTTTGAAAAATCAACGAAGATGCTATAAAATCTACCATTAGTTTTTGGAGAGATATTTGTGCAAATGCCTGTAATGCCAAAAAGTGATCAATAGAAAAATATCCGGATCTAAATCCAGCTTAAGGGCTTAATATTCGTGTATAATATTATTAATGTCACACCAGGATTGTAATATTTCATCCAGAATATATGTCAGAACTTTTCACAGTGAGTAAATAAGAGATATGCCCCTGTAATTATCTGTAATATAAAACAAGCTACATACATCAATGTTTGTTGATTCATGCACATGTCTATTTGTCGTTGAGAGGTCAGATGAAGTGAAATGAGGGTTAACGTCACATTCACTTCCCTAGCTACTCGCACTTTGTAAAGGGTCATGCGATTATTCATTTGACCGCTTACACATATGCTAGTTTTGTCGCGGTACCTCATAGTACACATTATCCTCCACAGTGGATATACATGCATATAGTTCTATTCGTCCTTGATATTGCTTCCTGTATAAGGATAGAGTTCACATGGTCCAAAGCAGTGCTTCCTATACATATATATAGTTCACATTATCACAGAGGGTGCCTCCTATACCCGCATTTAGTTCGCATCGTCCATGCGATACCATGCTGCTGACCAAAGCCCTAGAAACTCGCACAAGCCATGCTGCCAAACACGGTCACCCTTCCATCAACTTTCCACGAGCAACGTTGCTTAACGTCGCCTGATTTGTGACCTGTGCTTTGTACACGGGGTGCCGTACAATCAATAATGTGAACTATATGTACGCTAAGGACAATGGGGGTTATTATACATATGTAATTATAAATAAACATATATATACATATTAGGAAACTCTGCCTGGGACGATGCGAACTATATGCGGGAATATGGGGCACACTCTGTGATAACTATATACACGAATAGCAAGCACTGCGTTTGTAGAAAGCACTGACAGCGACAATGGGAAGTATATAAATGAATAGGAAGCGCTTTCTGGAATAATGTAAACTATTTGCGTGCGAAGGAAGTACTTGCAGCGAAAATGGGAAGTGATATACGTGTATGGGAAGTACTGTCTGGAATGTGAGCTATACACTTAGTGAAAGCACTGCTCGGAACAATATGAGATTGTATGGAACATGTATTGTTAGAAACAATATGTATCTAGGCCCTGGATACTATGTCATCATACCAAACATTAACACAAATGTGAAACGTATCAATGTACCAATCAGCCTACCAAACGGTAGATGAATAACACCAAACCAACAAATTAAGAGACAATGAATCAGAAATTCAAAAGAGAACGTGTTTATTTCAAAACGGTTGAAAAATTAACAAATACAATTGATTGTTATATATGATATAACATAAGTATTGTTCAAAATGATATACGAATCTTCACACATGATCACACATATATTGATAGTTGCTTTAAGCACCACATCAATAATATATTATACAATATCATACAATGACAAAAAATACAAAACACCTCCTTTATAGATCTATGAAATAGTGCAAGTCATACATATAGAATATGTTTATGTCCTTGATGAATAAATTATACAATGCCATAAACATATACTGCCAATAATAATGCTACTTGTATGCTTTGATTAAACGCTTTGATGGTGTAACTGATGGATTTACTAACTTAATTGGTTACCAATTCGTTTTGTTCTCATAAAGTGTAGGCATTATAATCAGGTATAATGTTAACTGACATTTCCGTTAATAATTCCAGCATTATTAGTGAAATGCCATACCTAAATGTACTTGGCATTACATATGTAGTATGAAGACAGTTGAACACAAATGTCAAAAATGTAATGTATTCTGTGATTTAGGCATCTTACAAACCAGGACTAGTAGTGTGGGCTATACATGGTGGAACACCAAAATGCTATGTTTCAAGTCTTCGGGGTTTATTTGTTGAACTTAAGGGTAGGCCAAGCAACCTCTCATCTCCGCCATTTGGTTAAATCGATTGTTGGAAGATCGTTGCAGGGTATCAAAGGATTGCTGTGAAATACAAAAATGTGTCACCCAGTTAAAATATTAACATTTCCGTCAGCATATTTCATATGATCTGGTTTGATATTCGTATCCTATATAACTGAATGAGCTTGAATATGTTACATTCAAAGTGTGTCACGAGGTGTAAATGGATCCAGGATACAATTCTGATCAATGTTCACTAAATGAAGTACGCCAGATATACCCTGTCGCATGTTGATATGAGGTCTGTCTGTGCGAGATAATTAATTACTGACGCACAAAGGAGATGAATGTCTTCATTGCCTACCTTTCTTTTGAGTACACTGTAAAAGGATCTCTTTGGATAAACTTCACTCCTGAATTCCTACAAAGAATTTTGGCAAAGCGCATTCGTCGGATCTCAGACAGTTGTCCTGAAATAGAAAACGCAATAAATATTTATATATACAATTACTTCTGACAGCAAGAGAGTATCTTTTTTCCAAACTATTGTCAGTGAAACACTAAAACATTTTGACATCTTGAACTAGAAATGCAATAAAATTCATATTATGATATAACATTCTCATCTTAAAGGCATATTAAGTTATCTCATAAGTACATAGTTTGACATCAACAAAATAGTTTAACAAAACATACAAGCACACAGGAACAGACTGGACGGTACCTAATGTAAAGCCCTTTCTTGGATGGGATGTTTCGAACCAGAATGAGTCGCCATATTTCAGGTCATGGAACTGTTGACCAATCAGACAAGCGAGGAGAGGGCCCACTGCACCGCCATGCACGTGCTGTTCAGCTACTGCACCGGTGAAGACGTCGATGTCATCAGGGGATCTGAAGCAAGAATACATAAACGTAAGGAGATCTTGAGAAATGTCAAATAAGGGTTAAAGTATCTTTATTAAATAAATTTGTTACAATAACTCTGTACACATATAAGAGTAAATTAAATTAGACAAACCTGTATACACTTTTCAAAGCAGCTCCTGCTTTACCAAATATACTGTCATCAAATGAAGTCACTTCCCATAGCTGACATGCCTTGCGAAAGCTGTTGTATGATGGCAGGCCGTGGTCACGACCTCTCTGAATGTTCAAGGACACGATGTCAAAGCTATTATTGCCCGACGTCTCAAACAAATGCTCAGTCATCCCACTGTTGATGAATCGGTTAACCTCCTGATGTCTGTCCTTGAGGATAGCCTTCAGCACGGTGTCCAGATCTTTGATGACCTCAGAAGGCCTGAAGAAGAGCTGTTCTATGGGTACACGTCGATCTCCGAGGGTCAGGAAACGTGGAATGGTGGAGTGGCCGTATCTGAAGGCGGCGGTGGCGAAAACGTTGTAGATGGTGGGGTTTTGGGTGAAGTTGTACCTGAAGCTGAAGCCAGGGGTCAGTCTGTACTTCCTCATGGCCAAGGGCCCAACAATAATGGGCAGCCATTCGCGGTAGGTGACTTGTTGGATGATGGCTGACACGATCTTTCTGGCCTCTTCAAACAAGACATCATCAGGAATGGTCGATGGCATGACATCAGCAAGTTCTTTGACAAGACGATTGTGTTCGCGGACAAACACGGTGTGTAGCACGGCCAGACCAGGGAACACGTTCACACGGTCGTCACCTGATGATGGAGTTAGTTATAAAGAAGTTGTGACAGTGTTGTAAATTAACCATATCATTCGAAAATTACCAAATGGTCATGTGTGAAGTACAATATGAACAGATTCTGAAAAAAGTACTACGGATACATTAATAAGTTGTATTTACCAGCTTTAAAACACCATTCGTTGGTATTGCTTGTTCGACAGTTGCCTTGGTTGGATTCTGGCAACAGGTTATCTCCCTTGATTTTCATGTAGGCTGAAAAGTTGAATGACGACATTAATTTGTATATACCAATTACTCTCTGGGGTATTTTGTCAAATTTTAAAATATTTGTTTGATCATGAATTATAATTTAAAACAAAATATTGCCTGACTTACGTCCATTCCTGAGGTGATTGATCTGATCCTGACTGAGTCCGTACACGTTAGAGGCGTCCACAAAGGACGTCAGTAGGTTCAACTGTTCTCGAGTATCTGGAAGTCACATGGTTTTTAATTAAATATGGATGTTATCATACAGTGTTGTTTATGGCTTTCGTTACTTAATAAGATGAGCATAAAAATAATGACAGAACAATCCTACGTTGAGATGAGGCTACCTTCACAGCCTTGTATTCATATACTCACTCCTTCCAGGTGCTGGGGCTGATCTTTTGAACTCCATGCAGTTCTTTTGGAAATGTCCTTCATTTACTGGCATGGTGATTGGGAAACAAGGACCGCTGGAACAGTGAAATACCAAAAGAATTAACACGTTTCCTATTTCAAATCAACCATTGTTATCATAATGTTTATGATATGTTATGATACACAAACACATGCTTATGATGTAGTCGGAATCTTATAGTAGACTTTTATAATCATGGAAAAGGTAGTCTCCCTTTCATCCTTATTATAATCATGTATACAATATCACGTAATTTTAAAGTATATTATTTCTGATTCATTCATTTAAAATATCACGACTAGTTATGTCCATTAACACAAACAGAATGATTAAGTGTGGAAAATATAGAATGTTAATTGCTTACCCAGCTCGTACATCAGAATGCATCTCTCCAGGTGTGTGACCATCGCAACATTTAGATTGAACATCACCTTGAAGGAATATAAGGATTTGTTAAGTTAATACAAAGATTTAGATGCATATCGTAATTATTGAAATAGGTTCGAAAAATATGGATCACAAAAACAAATATATCACAGTTTGTCTGATTTCATCATCACACGTCTGGTCACTTTGATGGTCAGAGGGTATTGGCCATTTGGCACGTACCTTCATGAAGAGGAGTTCCGGTGAGATCGTGGTCCACAAATTGCCCCCACTGCATCACCATCACCGTGTGGTCGTCAGAAGGACTGTCAACTCCCGGATGGACGGCCACACTGATGGCGCGTGGACTGGGAAGGGGATAACCATCAACGCCTCTCATTCGGGGAACGAACTTGCCTGAAAAGTCAAACCTTTGCTTTTAAAGTTCACTAAAGTATGGTTAGTTGTGATATTGATGGGGCATAACTAAATGTCCCCATTGGAATACTTACAAGACTTGCTTCCAAACGGTCTGATTTATTTATGAAAATCGCCTTGGTTATAAGCATGAAATAATGATTTTTAAGTTCTAATATCAATGTGAAGAAAATCTGTTCTTTACCATCATCATATGCAGGATCAATAAATCTCTTGAATGGTTGGTTGGTTGAACCCCAGGTTGACAAGCGAACATTGTTGCAACTTCCGTCCATTGTCCGGTAGCGGGCGTCTTGTCTGCAGTCGATAGAGCGCCGTCTGTAAAAGTGAATGGTGTTATCAAGTCCAATGATAATTGGTGTATGTATCAACTACATTAAACTCTCAACCACAAACGAAGTGTCCATATATGAGAATTAGTACGAAACTGACCTGATGGTGTGTTTGTCTTGATACTTGGATGTGCTGATGTCTTCTAAGGAGATCTGAGACGTCTCGGCGGCGTCAGCCAGTGTACAAACAACATACTTGTCTTCCTCATCACCTACTTCAAAGTAAAGGCATTAATACACTGCCTGCTATCATGGGACAATTTCAGAGTACTTTAACTTCGAAAGTCTGATCAAAGGTCGCACCATCTGAACTGGATGATGTTCTATATTGAAAATGATGTTTGAGAACGCGTATCAGCATAATATTTGTTTTAAATAATCGGAATTTGTCATCTGTATGTCCCATATGCAATAAATCCCCTGAAACATATAAGTTTAAGTATGATCAGATTTGTCAGTTAACCCAATAGACAAATCATGGATAGTGATGCCGTTAATGTTGAATAATGAGACTTCTTACCATGCAGGAGTCTGAACAAGATGTCCATTATTCTGTTTTCTCTGTCCAGCGTTTGTCCATCAACTATTCCTTGGTGGTCACCCGAAGTCGTTGGTGAAGTTTGTAACGCACCAGCAACATCTAATAGGTAAATAAGTACAGAGTATAGAGAAATAGGGCTGTCACAGATTATGAATGCAATCACAAAAACTTTCATACTTCGCCACCCCATATTTTGTTCTATCGAGTGGCGTTAAACCGGGTTTTTGAATCCGTCTGGAAATATCAACACAAGTCATTGCATGTGCATCGTTCAGGGTATACCCAAACACATATTTATTCATCTTATCTCTTGCATATTACATGATGCCAGTTGCGTGAGTAACGCCCAAGCAGATGAAACTAAAATAGTATTATTCAATCCTTCACTATAGCTTGTCAAGATTTGGTTCATAATTTTTAAAACACTATACTCACGTTGCTCAATGACGGAATCTATGTGGTTAACCTATAAGGGAATGAGTAAACATAGGTTAAATAATCGGTCTAGGGTAAAACAGATGTGATAATCTCAAACACCGTATGCCACCCGTTACTTTGAACATGATGAGAGAAAGAAGTTTCAGAACAATAAACCCAGAGTAAGTAATTACATGACATTTCTTATATATACTGATTTTCTACAGACATTCATGACTAGCCAGATAAATACCAATACTGATAATGAGAAGAAAAGATAAGAGAAGAAACAAAACACAACCTACCTCTGTGTCCGCCTCTCCAGCAGTGACCACGGTCAACATACAAACAAACAACACAACTTTCATCGTTTCTGCTTCTGTCCAGTACAAAGTGGGAATGTCTGATACACCAAAGATGGGACCTTGTATTTATACTCATATTCCTGGATTAAATCAACACAGATTACCCCAGAATTCACACTCCCCTGCTGGGTATTATCCGACATATCTACATGGGGGAGCTAAACATCTTGGATTATGCGGAGGCAGGCTGATTATCCCGGAGCAGGGTCATCACCGTCATTGTTCTTGGTGTGGTGTATAAACATCAATAACGAGGCAGTTGGTAACTGTTTCTCACCAGGGGGTATTAACAGAGTGCATTTTTGAGATTATATATAATAGTAACATATTAATAATAACTGAAACCGGAGAAAATGTAAGTTTCTTGTTAATTGACTAAAAATAGTAATAAAATAATTCATGTCTCCCACAATCACTATGAACTTCTCCATAAGATATGTCACGTGACCGTTCCCTTGAGATATGTAGTTCTTTTAGCTTGAACATCACAAGGACCTTATCAGTGTATTCGCTTTAGGGTTACTTTTGTTTGTGTATTCGGTCTTGCTGTTGTAATCGCTCTACTAATGTACTTTGAGAACATATATTCAGTACACCATCTCTCCCGAATTCATTTTCATTCGCAGTTAAGTTGTAGTAGTAGTAGTAGTAGTAGTAGTAGTAGTAGTAGAAGGAGTAGTAGTAGTAGTAGTAGTAGTTGTTGTAGTAGTAGTAGTAGTAGTAGTAGCAGTATTAGGATCGATGACATGTATCAACCAAGTCAGTGAGCCGGACCACCCGATCCCGTTAGTCGCATTTTACAAGCATAGTCGCCTTTTACGACAAGTATGGGTTGCTGAAGACCAGTTCTACCCCGGAATCTTCACGGGCAAGTAGTAGTAGTAGTAGTAGTAGTAGTAGTAGTAGTAGTAGTAGTAGTAGTAGTAGTAGTAGTAGTAGTAGCAGTAGTTTGTTGTTTAAGTAACACTGTTGCAGTAGTGGTATGGAATGTGTGTCGCAAGTGTCACGTGCTCATGTCATCTGCAAAAGTTTCTCATTTCCATACTCGATGAAACATACATACTGACTGTTGCATATATCAACGTTGACAACCAGTACTAACTTTCTAGAATTATAATTGAGATATGTATGTACCACATAAAATGTACGACTTGACTTCGTGTTTATGAATAAGTGGAAAATTAGTTCCTATTAGCAATATCAATGATTGACAATTAGTTTAAAATGTTGATCCTATATGTATTATTTCATTACATCGAGGGACTAGAAAATCCTCCAGACACAAAACGTAGTGACCACTTCAATGCATTTGTCTCCCAGTACTTGTCCACAAAGCTTGTCAAGAACAACTCGTGATGAGAAGCGGATTACCAACTGTCTCATTGTTATTATACCACTCTTAGAACAATTACAGTTGATGAGGACATGCCCAGATCAACACCATTCATTAATATAATCCCGGATTAACAAGATGGAAACTTATCATGGATTATCATCAGCGACAGCAGATTACGGGATAATCTGTTTTTGTGTATTCGGCAAACATGGTTGTCCAAATATGTAAGAACAATGCCCGATCTATCCGCTCTCATATGCCAAATATCAATACAATCATTGCTTTTTAGAGCAACCTACATGTGCATCTGCATTCCTCTATAGCACGTTCAGTGCTTTTAATGTATCTTTTAAAAGTATATATATTCATATACATACAATAATACGATACAATAATACGAATATTTTAATATCCTGTATACACAGGTGTTAATATTAAATACTTGTTTTCCCATTTCTCAATGTAAAACCTTCAGTTGAGAAAATAGACAAATGTTATCTCTGAAGGGTGAGTGAGGGAGCATCTTTTTACGCCGCTTTTGACAATTTTCCAGCAATATCAAGGCGTTGGACACCAGAAATGAGCTTCACACATTGTATCCATGTGGGGAATCGAGCCCGTGTCTTCGGTGTGACGAGCGAACAATTTAACCACTAGGTTACCACACCGATCCTCTCTCTGAAGAATTCATAAGGGCGATAATGTTTCAGTTCCTGGATTATCTGTATAATATTGTTGTATATATTGCTTTTTGAGCTGGGAGTAGCGTTCACATATCCTTATCACACGGTATTCATCTTCTACACTCCTCTTATTTTTCTTCAAACATAATTCGCAATATCTTTCATCATGAGGAATATTATTGTGTCTTCCAATCTGAACACATAATCCAAAAATATTACATCTAAATTTTGCTTAATGCCAATTAATATATTTAGTTATGTTTATTGTTAGATAGTATTCAGTATTGTGAAGTGATGTATATTGTTTATAGTAGTTGCACTTTGATGAACTTTCCAAGGATGATAACAAAAAAGGTTTTATCTTACAATCAAACAACTTAAATAACATATTTCCAGGAATATTTGGGTATTTATGCTGTAATTGAGCTTTAGTGGCTTTTGAAACAAGAGTATTTGTACATACTGTCAACCTAGTAGAAAACATAATACCTAAAAAATTATAATTGGTTGATGTCTTTAGTAGCTCTCCATCAAAATACCACTTCTCATAATGTCGTAAATAACCACCATTTAGAAAAAAAAACTAATATTTCTGTCTTATCCATATTTATCTGTAAGCCCCATGATTTACTATATTTACATAAAATATCAATCTTTCTTTGCAAACCAATAACACTGTAATCAAAAATACAGAAATCATCAGCATACAATAATAACAGGAGTTCCAAATAATCTACACCTATGTATATACCTCTTACATCTGCATTTTCCATCATGGATTGAAATTCTGAAATCAACATTGCAAATAAAAACGGGCTGATAACACAAACTTGTCTGACTCCACTTAAACTATCAAAATAATCAGTAATAGTAGTGTTGGATACTCTTAAAGCTGCTTTTATATTCGAATACATATTTCTCAGTACAGAGAATAATTTACGATGAATACCTTTATTAATTATTGAATACCACAGTAATTTCCTATTAAAAGAATCAAATGCTTTCTTGAAGTTTACATAAATAAAGTAAAAACGTCCCCAAATTTTAGATAAATACTTTTGTACACGACATTGCAAAGTGAAACTATTATCCGTTGTGCAATAGCCTTTCCTAACACCTGCCTGGGCCACAGGTATACTGTTAAAGTGATCGGAAAAACGTTTAAGACGCCCATTTAGAATAGAGCCGAATAACTTCCCAAAAATATCCATCAAAGATATGTCTCTAATTATTAACACAGTCGAAGCTTCCTTTTTTAAAGAGTGGTACAATAACACTCTCAGCCCAT